CTTAATTGAACATTCTTCAGCACTCATATCCGGATTCACAGAGTCGCAGAGAGCTTCAGATGTCCATAGATAGCATTATCAACTACATGACCATAAGTAAATTCAATAAGCACGACGCACTCTTTGCCAAGTTTCCTGCCACCCGTAAGGACAAGGCCAACAGTCTTTTCTTTCATCCAGGACAGATCCCTTTTTCGAAATTAGCAATTTATTAACAGTTGTGTTGAGCGAATAATTCCTTTGGTTTTCCACCTCTTCGGGATCCGCCAAAATCAGAAGAGCATTGATGGTATTCAATGATTTTCAACCGAGTGACAATTTCATGAGTACCTATTACTCAGATGGTCTTTCTTGGAGATTTCGTCCTGCCCCTTCTATTCAGCGCTCAGCGTAACACGGTTATTCATTGCTGTTCTGAACCATCGATAAGGCTGGAAAAATTCTAATATGAGCATATAAATGCTCATAGCGAAGCTTAGTATTTGAGAAAACCAATGGAGCGCAAGGAACTGGAAATGGACAATTCATCCTCCAAATAGAAACAAGAGAAAAGAAGAAAATCTACCTCCTAGCCTCATCTACGTGATAGAACCTCGACAAGAGAGTATACCCCACTCATACATCTCGAGCAAATTGTATTGATGCGCAGTTCGAGATCAAGGATACAGAAATGGCTAATTCTTTGAAGCGAACACAAAAATCGCAGATCAGTATTGTCACTTTCATCGTCAGTTGTGATCACACTACAAATCCTGTTAAGCAACTTCAAGGATGAGATTGAAGACTTATCTGCTAAGGCACCTTCACAATTTATCGAGATCCACCTACCTGAGCAAGAAGCTCGTCCCGCTGGGGACAAAAGTCAACAATAAAGAGAATCAATTGAATAATATTTAAAATGGTGGTGAAGATTGAAAACCACACACCGTGTATATTTGATAGTAAACTACTTATGTATTTCATCAATTCTCTTTTATGTTGATAGGTTCACTGATAATCTTCAATGATTTTCTCAGTAAATATTATGGTTGCTCCCTAAGTAGATCTTATGTGCATTGAGTAATTGAACTGATATCCGCTAAGTTAAATAGAGATTATGGTACTGTCTATATAATACATAATGTGTATGCTCATGTATTGATATTATTTTCTCTTATAAAAGATAAAAAAACTTCTCAAACTCTTTGTTTTCGTATTCAAGAAATATACAATCTATATTGTTATCGTCAATCACCAGATGATATACCCAGGGATTTGAATGTCGACCTCATCACATATGTTTAACGTGTAATCGAGCAGGCTCATGACATACACCTCGGATAGTCTTGACATCGATTGGTGGATTCTCTCCGACCTCTTTCACACTGATAACGTCATCGAGCAGAGCTCGACATACAACCTCGGATAGGCTTTATTCATTGTGGATCTCCTCGATCTCTTCATTCAATTAGTCACCGAGCAGAGCTCGACAATACAACCTCAATAGGTCTGATATCATGGTGATTCTCAGTCGGACCTACTGTCCACCATATTAACGTCATTGCAGGCTTGACATACAACCCGGATAGTCTTATATCCTTAGTAATCTCTCAACTCTTCCACACAACTAATGTCAGTCGAGCAAGGACTCTTGACATCAACCTTGGATTAGGTCTCTACATCTTGGTGATGTCTCTCACCTCTCCAACAGGTATTTCAGTTGAGCAGGGCTCGGACATAAACCTTAGATAGGTCTTACATTCTTGGTGAATTCTCTTGACCTCTTTACATAGCTACGTCATCGAGAAAGGCATCTAACATACGAGACTTATGATACTCTTATCACCTAGTGGATTCTCTTGACATCTTTCACACAATTTAACATCATTCGAGCAAGGCTGCTGACATACAGACCAATAGGTCATTTATCTTATAGATTCTTCCACCGTCTTCATATAAGTTAATATCATCAAGCAAAGTAATGTATAATAAATCATCACTCATATAAGACCTTAGCAGAACTAACAATGCCTCCAAAAATATGGAGAATATATCCAATTAAGTATGCCTAAAAGATGTAATTCACAATGTCAATTTTGCTACCGAGGATAATTCTCAATATTCTATACAATATAATGGAGTACATTCAAAAAAGTTCACATGAAGTTCTTTTTTGAAATAATTGAAATTAAAATGTACATTGACAATATTGATACAAGCTACATCATCAAGTAACAAGAAACTTAGTAATAATCAAATATCTTTGTGATTTAAGTACTTTTCTCGCTGCCCACACAAGCATCTCAAACCAACGTTTTTCTTCAAAGAAATGGAAAAATTTTTGAGTCTACACATGTCAATATGAGATATATATATTGTCTTAGCAGAAGCCAACAGACCACCGTCATCATCAGCACTTCACCCGTCATCAGTCGGCCCTTGCGCCCGATGTTTGATTCGTCACTCTTCAAATCTACTAGCATCGATTTCTCGCCGACTAATAACTAGCAGAGAGCAGCAATCGAAACTCTCTCCTTCAACCTAACTCGGTCGTGATTCTAATGGGCTTAAACTTGATCGGAATCGACGAATCACTCGACAAACTTTCAAACAACATTCAAATTTCTTCCCTTCACTCATCCACTTCTGATTGTGCATCCAGGCAAAATATTACGTACAAATCTTCTCAAATTCCCTCGCATACAACTAGCAATATATCTTTTTGTCAAGGATATCATTAAGAAGTATATCCTCCATCGTGACTTCTTTTACACAAGAGAGTGGCACTGAAGCTTCAATAGGGGAATGTCGCCTATCTCAAATAATAAAAAAACCTCTAATGCACGAAGAAAATCAAAGCCAAAGAATAAGGAGGAAAAATTTTCCCCTACATAAAAAGCACGGCACGAAGCTTGATAGGAGAATGCACCCTATCCTCCAACAGTGGAAGCCTCTAATGTAAGAAAAGATCAGAGAAGAAAAAAGAAGATGATGCAAAAAATTTTAACTTTACACAATGAGAGGCCCTGAATTTAGTAGGGATGCTCCTACAACAAACAGGGGAAATGCAGTAAACTGAGAAAGTTTAAAAATGAGGGAGGAGAAAGAAAATAAACATATGCAAAATTACTAACTTCGTAGACAGAGGGGAGCCATTTGAGTAGGAAACACCTACGAAAAACAACGAAACATAACTACCAGAAAACCAGAAGGAAGTAAATAGGAGAAAATTCTAACTTCGTACAAGAGGAAGCACCGACTTAAGTAAGGGAAAATCACCTGATGAAAAACAGCGGAAGCCTCAACTATCAGGAAAGCCAGAAAAAGAAAAAGTTGCCGAAATCTAACTTCCTGTACAAGAGGAGGTGGCGCCGCAATCGAGTAGGGAAGTTTACCTACTGAAAAACATCGGAAAGCTTAACGTCCAGAGAGCCAGAGGAGAAAGAAAGAAAAGAGGGAAGTTCCAACTTCTGTACAAGGAGGAGGGAGGAATTCGAGTAGCAAAGTCACTTATTCAAAATAGCGGGAAAGCATCCAACTGTCAGAGGCCAAGATGGAAAAGAAAGAATGGAGGGGAGAGTCTCCAAAACTTCTATACAAGAGAAGGGGCGCTGAGATGCGAAGCTAGGAAGTCCCTACTCAAAAACAGCGGAAACCTCAACTTTAGAGAGCCAGAGGGAGAAAGAAGAAAGAAGGGAAGTCTCAACTTCTGTACATAGGAGGGCGCTGGTCGAGTAGGAAATTCACTACTCAAAAAATAGAGAGAAGCCTCAACTGTCAGAGAGCCAGAGGGAGAAAGAGATAAGTGCATTCTATGCCATAGGGCCTATTTATAGCTGTATAAAGAAGGGGAAGTTTCTAAGTTTTCTTGGAATATTAAAAATTTTCAAATTTTTTTGAATTTTTTCTGTTATATTTGTGAAATTTTTTGTGAATTTTTTACACACACGATTAGAAAATAAGCTAAAAATTCAAAATTGCAATCGGGCCAACCGCCGGTCAGCAGAGGCAAACTGCGCGCCCCATGAGGGCGCCGTTCGATTTAAATTGAATTTAGATAAAATAAATATTTATTTTAATGATTTAACAATCGGACAACTAATTTATGTTAAATTTATCTAAATAAATTAATGAATTGATACTCAAATAATTACCTGTAGTGAATTCAATGATCGTAATAAATTAACAATAATGAGTTTGTCAGTATAGCGATATATATTTTTTATGCTTTCTCTTTTTATAATAAAATTTATCACATACTATTCCTTCTTCATTTTTAATGTTTCTAAAGACCTTCTCCTAAATGTAAATTATGTATTCATGCCCACACCTTCATATGCAATAGTGTTTATTTTTATTAAGTATTTTTTTTAATAATCATATATCTAATATATTAGAACACTAATAAAAATATTTTGACCCTCCCTCAACAACAATTTTGCAAGGCCGTTTGTCATATAACATAATTTGGGTGATGGGGTCTCTATGAAAGTTGACATATTTTTAACTTTTGATTGCAACGAAAGCTTCATTTTAAAATAGTTTTATTAATGTTTTCTAAAATAACTTTATATTACAAAAAATAAAAATCTGCTTTTGAAAGTAATAAGAAAGTTGCCTAAAACAAAATTTAAATGATGTCGGTATTTAATTTCTAGATATAACAATGTAATCTTTGATGTCAAACTTGGTTGTCATTTATGTAAAAATTTTAAATAGAGATGGTGATCTTTACTATTATTATATGATAGAAAATTTATGGTTATAGAATATGTGTTTAATATATTAATAGAGGAACTTAATTTTTAACAAAATTGAAGAAGATGTGATAATACACTAATGTCTCAAGGATTAAAGAAGTCGGGGTTCCATAAACAAACAATTAAAAATCAATATCGGAGTTGGATATCATCAGTTAATCAACCATAGTTGAATGATGAAAGTTAGAAGATGGTGATGGTGATTGCCAATGACAATCCTCAGGTGCGATTGTTAGAAAAAAAATGTAATAGAGCTCCTTAGCTCTCTTAGCTTCTAAGCCTACTTCATGTAGACAATAAATGATTCTTTAGTTCAATAACTAGTTTCTATGTAGAAGTGAATTGATCAAGCCGAGCAATGTGTTTCAATTTTTAAAATCATGAGAAAATAGCTATTTAATAGTGCTCTTTATAGGTTGAAATGTGATCAACCATACCATGAATTTTTTGGTAAATCATTTGGGATATATAATCCA